TTTGCCGCTCCATTCAGGTTAAATGGGAATAACCTTAGTAGGATAGCCTCTTGAGGAACCCCATTCACTTTGATTCCATTCGTCAACTCGTAAAATGACTTGACATGCGCATGTGCATCTTCACTCATCATCCCATTGCATTGAACCGCACTTTGAAGCATTGATATTGTGCCCGACTTGATCTCATAATCATTGTTGGGCAACATTGGATGAAGAATAGGTGATTGAACATTGTCCACACTTGGCCTAGAGTAAGAACCCATTGTTCTTGGCCTCGGTGGTACTTGAGCTTGATGTTCCTCCATTGGTGGAGGTTGAGGTCTTGCAACTCTTCTTAGATTCCGTAGGGTTCTCTCAATTTCAGAATCAAGAGGTAATACTTCCAAGGAGTCCCTTCTTCGCATACAACGATGCTACAAAACACAACCTCAACAACCCGTGACGTACAAAAGTGGCAAATAACAATACAAAGAAAGACACAAATATGAAAACAAAATACGAAACGAAAGCACAAAAACAAAACGAAATAAACCAAGAACACAAACACAAAACAAAACAAAAAACTAAAGCAAGGTAAAACTAACTAACAACTTAATGGTTTAGGGTCCCTGGCAACGACGCCAAAAAGCTTGATCACTTGAATTCGTGCATGTTATTGGTAGTGGTTTGCACGTATCAACAACTCTCCCATCCTAAGCAAAGTTTAACCTAGCATGACATGGCCGTATAGTCGTAATCAAGGTCGTATTCTACTTGGGTCTTGGTACCCTAGCCTACTTCCCACATTGTTGTTAATTAGGTAATCGAATTTTGAGGTTTTGAGTGGAGGATATGAGGAAAAACTAGTCTAGAGGTTGATCAAAGCTAAAAGAAGGTACTTTGGGGAACTAATCCTCCCCCTAGCTTAGGGATACTATCCATGTATAGATACTTAGGGTTATCGAATGTGCTGAGTGAACTCTATTTTGTGAGCCTTCGTCGTTATCCACATACCTTTGAGTACGCCTCCCCTAAACTCATGTTTCAGTCACCTCGATCTAGGCTAGCGTGTATGGTGCTTTAAGCTTATGTCTCATTTCAATGGACACTATCCACCGTCCACACCGAGGTTTCATCCCATATTCCATCTAGGAAGGCTACCTATAGTAGGGGTTCGGCTGCCTCGACCACTATAGGCCCCCATTCACACATCTAAACTAAACTCGCCAGCTGGCGCATACCTGTCTAACCCTAGAACTCCTTACCCAGCGCGGTAGCATAAAGTAGGCTAAGAAGAAGATTGGGGAGACTTACCCAAGCGTGATCATTTAGGAAAGAGTGACATTAAAAATCTACTAAACAAACACATTCATTCATTCAAACAATAAAATATCCATACATACATAATAAACCCTAAAAATAGGGTTTGAGGTTTAGAACCCATAGTACCTTAGAGGACTAGTCCATAAAGGAGGGAAGAAGATACATGGTAGAAATAGAAGAAGACTTGGGGTAGAAGGTGCCTCCTATCTCCTAGCTCCTCCTTCTTCTCCCTTCAGCTTCTCTCTCTTCTCTCTCTAGAACCAGAAATTTCACCCAAAATCAGCTCTCTTGAAACTAGCTTATTGTCCGGCCCGTTGGCCGTAATGTTATTAGATTATAATGTATTTTTTATGTGTATTTAAATTTTTAAAATTATTTTAAATGCTGAATTTCGTATGATATTAAGGTGACATCGAAATTATTCTTCCATTTTCAAAATTCTTATAACTTGTCATCAATGATAAACATTGTAATCTTAATGGTTATAACCAAAGTTGTGAAACCGGTTTAAGCTGTTGAGCCTATCAAGCAAGTGGTTTGAAGTCGTTTTATACCTTTTCTAAATGTAATAATATATAAGATAGAAATTTAGTGAGTGAAATGGAATGTTCTAACTTATATCTATTAAAAACTCAAATTCCATAAAGAAATACCTATCTCAATATCCACCCACCATCACCTTGCCTCTCTCTTCTTCTTTCTCTCTAACGATCATACTGTTGGTCTTGTAGAGCCCATTCTGGAGCACGACTTTGGACGGACCTAGTACAACCAGCCGTCCGGTAGAGGTGTAACAATCTTGATTATAACACTCTTGAATAACCATTCATAGCTTGTTTGTTTAATCATGTAGTCACTTAGTTGCCTATGATGGAAAAGAAAATTAACATAACTAAAAAAAGAGTTTGTCTGAAAAATTGCAGCATAAATAGGAAACTCATGATCATAACCTTTAGTCAATATTTATTTCTTTTGCTTGAGAAACAATACATAAATAGCAATATCTAAACCTTAAAGAATTATGCACAATACAATAACAAAATTAGTAAGAAAGTAACATTTTCCTTACATACTCTATGCAATGAAAAATTATTTATCAACCAACATGCTCTAAATTAGTTGAAGGACAATTCCATTCACTCAACAACAAAATTAAACCTATCTTGTGGTACCTACCTGGCTAATGCACATGACCACATCAATGCGTTCATGAAAACTCCAGTCTGACTTTCATTATTTGTTTTGTACTGCGGTTATTTCATAATAAACTAAGTAACTATGAATGATACATATGGTCAATTACCCTATAAGATAAAAGATTTAAATAATTGAAATCGTAAAGAAAAATTGGTATTCAGAAATTGTGTTCCTTTAAACTCACCCATTTGTCCAATCATGCCATATTATCAAGAGATTTAGGATTTAACGGTTAACCAAACTAAAACTTTCAAAGAACTGGCCACTTATAGTTTGAATAACAATATCGTTGCTTTTATAGTTCTAAAAATTAATACTAAGATAAGAATCATACATCACTTCTACACATTCAATACTGCAATTCAATGTGCAATATTTGAATCAATGATATTTGGTTTTGCCATTTTAAAATTATCCTTTATTTATAAGATAGACATAAATTAAATTTATTATTACACTCAAATTAAAATAATTAAAATATGAAAATTTAAATATCAAATAACAAAGAAAGTACTTACGAGAGAGTTAGTGGGCTAGCTAACAGTATTGGAAAAGTCATATTGTTTTTAGATTTTAGTATTTGAAAAGATATCAAACATTTCTTTAGTGCAATTGGTAATGATTATTGTCTTTATTTGGAAAGACCATGGTTCAAATCCTGAGATTGATGTATATCTATTCTTATGAATAAAAATAAATAATGATTGTGAAAACACAATTACCCTTCCTACTTTCGCTCTCGTAGCATCAAATTTGAAATGCAGAAAAATTGCCCCCAACTCTGCTATAATATATATATATATCGAGTTCTACGGTACCCTGGGTGACATCCGGGGTACCGCATACCTTGAGTATGAAAACACTATCTAGACCTTGAATTGACCGATCTTTCGGATATGATACTATACTCTAACACTTAAAGATCAAAATCTATGTGTTAACTCTCCCAATCTTATACTCCAAGATCAATTTAATTAGAAACAATAATCGACGGTTATGATTCATCCAAATATAGGCACAAAAAGGAATGCACCATCTTAGGGTTTATAGATTATGATTTAGATAATTATGACCTACGGTTCACTCATTAAGGGTTAGGGTATAATATCAGACACAAAAATCCTGGTAATTCGAGGTCTAGATAGAGTTTACATACTCGAGGTATGCGGTACCCCGGATTTTACCCGGGGTACCATAGAAGCCACCATATATATATATATATATATATATATATATATATATATATATATATATATATATATATATATATATATATATGGGGAGTTCTATGGTACCCAGGGTGAAATCCAGGGTACCGCATACCTTGAGTATGAAAACGCTATTCAAACCTTGAATTGGCTAATCTTTCGGACATGATACTATACTCTAACCCTCAAAGATCAAAATCTAGGTCTTAATTCTCTAAATCTTATACCCCAAGATCAATTTAATTAGAAACAATAATCGACGGTTGTGATTCGTCCAAATATAGGCAAAAAATGAATGAATCATCTTAGGGTTTATAGTTTATGATTTAGATAATTAGGACCTAGGGTTCACTCATTAAGGGTTAGGGTATAATATCATGCCCAAACATCCTGCTAATTCGAGGTCTGGATAGCGTTTTCATACTCAAAGTATGCGGTACCCCGGATTTCACCCGGGGTACCATAGAAGGCACCATATATATATATATATTAATATAATAATTTTTTCCATAAACAAAACCCACGCTAGAAAGGGTTGGTTATTCTTTTTGTCATAGGAGGTAGAGTGCGTTTTCTCTAATTATTTAGTTTTTATTAAATTATTTTTAATGTAGCATAGTTTTTTAGTTAAAAAATTTCTTTCATTTTTTATTGCTTCTTATTTGGTAAGATTTAGTGTTTATAATTTTCATTGATCTTCAATAATGCTAAATTGGTTCATAAAGACGACTATGGGTTTTAACTATTATGTTATTTATAGAGTTGGGATATGTGGTATAGTAATTTTAACATCGAGAGATAATGATTTTGTAATTTGTGTATTTTTATAGAGTTGGGATATGTGGTATAATAAACTTAAAATAACATGACATAAACATTGTCAAATGATGAAAGTTAAGGAAACACGTGTTAGGTTATATATGTGCATAGCCTATATTCATGAAGACATGCATAAATTACTTATAATTCTTTGATTTAGGATATCGAATGACATAAATTATAGAAAGACACGATTTTTCTTATTGCAATAGAGGGATGAGAATATATCATGACATAATTGACAAAACATACTAATAGTATGGTTAAGACTTAGATAATTTCATAAATAAAATATTTAATTGAGAATCATTAAAAAAATCTTAATTGAGATAATTTATTAAATAATAAATTTAAATCTTCCGGCCGGGTATATGCTAGCCTAAATTAAGGCGAGGCATTGACAAATTGATCGACTGACCGAACGACATCCTTAAAACTAGAATGATGGAAGGAACTTGGAATCCAACCGAGTCAAAGCTTTTGATCCACAACTGTAATAAAGATAGCGAGGGGAGAGAGTTGAGCGGTAAAAGGAAACCAAAGCGAGAAAGGCGGCCAGTGGAAAAGTAAACAGATTTGTGGAAGCAAGAGAAGAGAAGGTCCCGGGAAGGGAAGCAAAGGGAAAGCAACCACTCTGAATTTCAATTTCAAATTCGTCGTAAGGTCCAGGGTCAGCTCCGGTACCGTGGCAAATCTACTTTTCTTAAATTATATAACCTTAGTTTCCATTCCCCTACTCCGCGCTCATCATCAAAACTCGCTCGCCACACCCCATCCCATCCCATCTCTGGAAAAAGCAGTTCCCCCCCTTCTTCCGTTAAACTCCACCCAGATTCTTCTAGGTTTCGAAGCTCTATCGATTTGGCTTGTGGGTATTTCTCTCTCGACTTGCTTTACTCAATCTCTTTGCTTCATTCCTAAACAGATAATAGAGAAAGGGAGTGCGCTCTGTGGCGCTTTCCTTAGCTTCAGGATTATACCATCCCCCTCCTTGTAAGTCTCTTCTTCTTCTTCACCCTTTATGTGCTTTTCAGTTTTTGGGTTCCCCCTTTATGTGCCTTTTCAATTGGTAAAGGTTTCTCTCCTTTTTCTCTCTTCAGCATCTGGGTATTTCTTTTTCAGTTCCCTCTCGCCTTCTCCTTTTCTGGGTACCGTCTCTTTCTCGTTTATACCCGTCCTTGTAAATGGTGTGTTCTTCTCAACTGGGTTCGTCTCATTTATCGCTCATGTATTTCGCTCCTTTTGTGTGCTTTTGATTGCCTGATTACAGTGAAAAGGAGGGAGGGGGGAAGTTCGAATTCAGCATTTAGTAACCCCTTTTCAATATTTAATTTCGAATTCATCACGCATAACCATTTTGACAACTTTACACAACAACCCCTTGCCTTAGTTGCCTGCCTTTCCGATGACTTCTGTAACTAATTTTGTATGGAATCTATTTATTTAAACTCAATTTAGCTGTATAAGCTCTTTAATAATTCTCTCTTGGGTGGCCAAAAAGGCAACTTCTTTACAGATTTTGCAGGTCATCCAAGTAAACAAATTTATTGTCCTTGTTTCCTGTTTCTAGCCGAGTCCGGTAGAGAAAGAAGCTCCTCTGAAGAACTTGGCGGTCTAGGATCGGCGTAGTTGGTTTGCAATTAAAAGTAACGGAATTGGTGGTTCGGTAGCGAGCATTTTGTGATGGGGGATCATTTTGTGTTCTTAGTGGACCGCTTGCTAACCGAATCAACACTGGAAGCTGCAATTGAAAGCAGGCTGCGGTCTATGCAAGCGACAGCATCGTCCAGGGTGGATGATGATGATGATTCCCAAGTGGAGAAATGTTCCCATAGTGTGGATTTTGAGGATATATCGACTCCCACGAAGATAGTGGAATGCAGGATATGCCAGGATGATGATGTAGATTCCAACATGGAGACGCCTTGCTCTTGTTGTGGCAGCCTCAAGGTAATCTTTTCATTAGGCCTCCCAAAGCTTGACCAAGATGCTGAATTTTGAATTTTCTCAAGGCTTTTTTTGCCTTAGTATTCTGAGGGGGTTTCGGCATTTCCTTTCTTTGTTTTGGCCGTTGTTTCTGGAGAGCGAACAAAGGGCAGTTGCTTGCTTGAATGAGCGATACTTATCTATGACCTTATCCTCCCGCTTTTTACATAATTTGGCTTTAATGTTTTACTTGGTCATCCTCTAACCTGGGAGTTGGTACTTTTTTTTCCCTTTGGTCCACTGAATTCAGGCCAAGGCACCAACTTTGAGGTTTGGCTCTTCATTGTTTGTGGATAATACATCTTTCCAGTTCAAGGGATGATAATATGACCCTATATTAACATTGTTTCATCTTCTAGAAGAACCTTCCTATTTGTTTTTGTCAAGGTCTAAGAGGAATAAAATGTTTGTTTTCTGGTTATTGTGCCGTCTAATAGTCATCCGTTGATCCTCATCCCCTTCTCACGATAACTTAATCATGCTCTGTTGTTCTCTTATGTAGTATTGATGGAAGAAAAAAAAATTCCTTTCATCAAACCAGAAAACTCCTTCCTGAATATAGTGTTACAAATAAACGTTCTCATGCTGAAACACCTGACATAGTTACGTAGTGGTAATACAGTCTTCTAAAAGAAGGGATCACAAATGATGTAGAGATTTTTCTTCAGTTTCCTATGGGAACTTTTGTCTCTGGAAGCTGAATGAGGTGAATGGATATAAAGTAAGGAGAATTCTAGTATCATGGATAACACTATCTGGTCACACTGCATGGTAATGCTAGCCAGTCTTTCTTGTTTGCCTCGTACTTGTGCTTATGGCAATAGAGCATCCAATTCCTTAACAAGTAAATTCTTCAGGAAATGGCAAAAATGACCAGAAATAGTAATTTCTGAAGAATATTTTGCACTGGCTTCGATGCTTCCTTCTTGTGCATGGTTTTCTTGCTGTGTGTTGAAATATTCATCAACTATGACTAATGATTCTCATTTTACTTCACAATTTCAGTATGCTCACAGGAGGTGTGTTCAAAAGTGGTGTAATGAGAAGGGGAATACTACTTGTGAAATATGCCAACAGGTATGTCTTTCGTCTTATGATTTAGTTTTAGTCACGACTTCTGTAAACATCTCGGTTTTCTCTTAAACAATGTGGCGTGTGAGGTTCAGATGCTGATGATTCCTCGACTACACCTCTTGTTGAATGATGATTTGATTGGATGATTTTCAGCAATTCAAGCCTGATTATACAGCCCCACCACCATTGTTTCATTTTGGGCGTATACCTATAAACCTGAGGTAACATCTTGGTTCTTATTACTACCATGAACTATTTTCATGACTTACCACATTATCCTTGGATCATATATCCAATGATGTTGACTATGTCAGGGGAAATCGGGATAGGTCCACAAGGGAAGTACATGGTCGTCGTTTTGTAGCAGTGGTCTCAGCAGAACATAATCTTGCTACTCCCGACTATGATAACCATTCGACATTTCCGAGCAGAAACTTAATCTGCTTCCGCTCAGTTGCAATCCTTGTAATTCTCACTCTCACTCTTTGCTATGCTTTGTTTCGCTTTTGCATAAGAGCATCCACATCAATGCAATTGAAAATTAATTGCATACATGATTTTGTTGCCACATGAATAATTTTTTGCAATCCAACTCCTATTAATGTCATTATACCTACATAAATTCAATTTACATGCCATGTCATCTTGCAATTGAAAATGCAAGACCAGTGTAGATGCTCTAAGGATCCTATTGGTGACCTCTGGTTGAGGTTTTCACACCTGGGAGTTGCAACATCATATTATTTCCCAAGATCGACAGACTGCTGTTCGTATAACATTACTGAACTTCTGGAGAATTTATACTAATTTCTCAAAATGGAGACTTCTTTTGTGAACTGAAAAGTTAGCCTCAGTGTATCGTGCACGTGAATTAATTATGGTTGATGCATTTCTGTTTGGTATCTTTGGTTGTAGTTGTACCACCAAGGTAGCAAAACTCAGATGCTTATCTCTCCACTGTTTCGCGTAAAAATTTATTCCAAAATATTGATCACCTTTTGCGTTATTTTGCAGATCATGATACTTTTACTTCTTCGACATACCCTTCCCATTTTACTTTCTGAAAGTGTTCATATCTCCATCCCACTGTTGCTGGTAAAATAGGCATTTATGTATTTCGTTTTACTTCTTCATTTCAAGGGCACACATTGATGTGTAGAATCTCATGACAAGAAAGGGATACATAACTTTTTCTTACTTTGCAGTTGTTATTGCTACGAGTAGCTGGAATCATTCTTCCCATCTATGTTATGGTGAAATCATTGACCGCTCTTCAGCAACGGCGCCAGCAACATGTAAGTCTCTTCCCTGCCCAAGCATCATATGGCACTTCTCCTAGGCTGCTGCTTCTTTTATGATTTATGGTTACTGGTTATTTGCTTTGGATTATCACCTGTGCATAATGCTCCAAACAGGTAGTCCCTTCATCTGACGAAGAACCTGAAGAAGAGGCTGAGCATCAGTCGGCCCTCCAGGTTGAGTCGCACATAATCAATGTTCATTAAGTTGTATATGTGTATTTGTTAAGTTGTGTTCCTACGAATTGGCGCGAAAGAGAACATTCTGAAAGGATGATCTTGAAAGGCTGCTGCAGTGATGAAGAGAGTCTGGAAATGGCTCTCGAATCGTTTTAGTGTATGTTGTATGTTTAAATACATCAGGCAAGCTGCGAAGCAAACATGAATAGCTGCACAGCTTTTGTTTCTTTGTTGCTTTGATTCATGTTGTATAGACTTGGGAAAATACAGCATACTGCAATCTGTACATATTTTATACATACTTTTTTTTTTATAGCATGGTCCGGTGAAATAGTAGACATATATGATTACAATGAGTAAAAATACTTACATAGATGAAATAGCCCTTTATGCCACTAAATGGACAACTCTGTTAATTCCCTAGGGCTTCACTCTGTCGAGACTAAACCGTTAAGGTGACCGAACCACGTGTCTTCTGCCCAAGCTTAAACGCCCATTATGTCAATCCATCCAAAAGCCAAAGACACGGCTTCTCATCGTTCCTTCTTTGACAAATAGAGTTCCATTCCAGATACACATGCACCTGCAGAAAAAAACAAACGAAAAGGAAGCCACTTGCGAAAACACTCAAGAAGCCCACCCAATACTGGAGAAAGGCTATAAGCCAAGTGCTGATTGTTCCAATTGCGGGATACTAATCCGGTCCACCGCTTGCTTCACCTATGAATAAGGATAACAACTCCATGAAGATGTCAGCGAATAAGCATGGGAAAGCAACTAGGACGTGGACACCTCCCGGACGAAGAAAGAGATACACGCAGAGGAAGGACACCACGACAGCTCCGTGAAGGCCTCACGGCAGAGAAAAGATGCGAACTCGGGATGGGGTTTTGAACTGCTTAACTTGCACCCATCAAATCAAATCAAATGCAGACAGAACCAAACAGAACAAAAATAAAAATACCTCACAGAAAAGAGTTAATGAATGAAATTAAAGAACTTCATCGATCACGACCGGTAGTTGAGACTTGATAACAGAAGAGCAGACTCGAAACCCATTCTCCAATCTTCATGCTCTCTCTGCAGCGCCGCCGAGGATTGGCGCTTTTGCCTAGTTATCACCAACTCAACGCAAAAAATCCCTAATCGATGAAATCGACTCAAAGGACTTGTAACCGACGGACTAAATGGTATAGAGATAGAAGTTGAGTGATGAAATAAGAAAATGTACAGACTATATAAAAGAAAGACCGCGAAGACCGTTGACACTACTTTTGAGCTTATCAATAACAACTTTACCTTTGTCTCTCTCTCTCTCTTCCTGACTTCGTCTTCTTCCTTCTCTTCTCTGCATTCTTACTTCTTCTTTCCCTAAAATTAGCTATCGCCAAGGCAATTATCCCTCAAGGGGTGACAAGGTGGTATCAGAGCACGTCTTGGCTCCATGATTTCGATGACGAACACACGTGACACCATTGACGAGCGTCTCACCAGTTTAATGGCGTCCACCAATCAGGCGCAAGGAGTTCTCCACGACAAAATCGCGGACGTTCGTAGTATGGTGGATTCTCAAGCTACTCAATTCCAAGAGCTCATGACTCGTTCTGACGGTCATTCACAGGAATTTGTTACTTAGACGACTCGTTTGGACACCATGGAAGCGACTTCGGCGATGCGTTTCACGGAAATGGAGGCTCGCATCGACGATCGTTTTGGTCAATTCACACAAGAGATTTGTAACATGCTTCAAGTAGTGGTGAATCCACTGCCAGCGTGGGCTGTTGACGGTTCTGGAATTCTGCCGGTTGACCGGAATGGCGCTCGAGGCATTCTTCCTTTACCTAACCTCGGGTTCAGGGGAGCTGGCCCTGTCGTGTTACAGGCACCTAGGGTTCAAGCTCCGATCAATCCAGTAGCGGAGCGGGAACAAATTCCAGTTCTAGGCCGAGGTAACCAGCATCAGCTTCCCAGACTCGATTTTCCGTCTTTTAATGGCGAAGATCCTCGCGAATGGACTAGGAAGTGCGAATAATTGTTCAACATTTATGGTATTCCTAATGATCAAAAGGTGAATCTTGCGGTGATCTATTTTTAACGTCGTGCGGATCTTTGGTTCGAGGGATGTAAAATTAGTAAACGTGAATTGGTGTGGGAGAATTTTGTGGCCGCTTTGTGCCAGAGATTTGGGAATCACACGTACGGGGTGTGGTGGCTGAGTTCAATAAGCTCAGACAGCGAGGTTCCTTAGCTGATTACCAGGAGAAATTCGAGGAGCTTCGTTCATTAATGGCTCATTTCAACCCTGCTTTGGATGAAATCTATTTCATAAGTAGCTTTATTAGTGGATTGGAAGAGGAATTGCGCCCTGTTTTGCAGATGTGGACCTTTAGACCATTGCAGATGCTTTTGAGTTTGCTCAGTTGGAATAGGCATCAAATTTAGCTCGCCAAAAGAAGTGGCGTAGTAGCCAAGGAGTTCCTAGCCGTCCTATGGTGGCTTCCAGTAGCACCAATACTACACAACCTCATCGTTGGGACAGTTATGCTATCAGACCTTCTGGTGGGGCAAAATCTCCACTAGTGAATCAGAAGGGAAACGACACGAGAGGGGTGTGTTATAAGTGTGGTGACAGGTATTTCTTTGGACATGTGTGATGCAAAGAAGCAGCTCAATGTCTTGCAGGCTGAAGGTGAAGATGGCAATACTAACGCATGGCACAAACCTGATGAGGAAGAAATGGAGGATCCCAGTGTGGAGGCTGACCAAACTGATTTAGAAGAAGTTTCTATGCAAGCACTGAACAGTGGGGGAATGGCTAACTCGTTAATAGTTCAAGGCAAGGTTAAGAAAGACAAGATTTACATTCTGGTGGACACAGGCAGTACTCACACTTTCCTTACTGACAAGAAGGCAAAGGAATTACAATGTCATTTGGTTCCAGCTAGTAATCCTTTAAGAGTGAAGTTAGCAGATGGCACGGTTTTACTCAGTCACTTGGTTTCCAAAGGGTTTTGTTGGGAAATGCAAGGACACACGTTCCATTATGACATGAGGATTCTGAATTTGGGTTCAAATGATGTTGTGCTTGGGTTGGACTGGCTTAAGACTATTAGCCCAGTCAAGTTTGATTTCATTGGTTTGTAGCTGTTTTTCGACTGGCAGGGTGAGGAGGTAGTGCTTTCTAGTATTCAAGACATGGCTCAGTGTAAGTTGATTTCAGGTAAGAGTTTGCAAAAGCTATGGGATAAGTCTGAAGTTGTTTTGTGGGGAAGATTTGTAGTTTGCAGGCTGTGGATCAGTTGGCTAGCTTAAATGAGATTAGTGCCTTGAATAGTCAACCAACTAACTTCTTAGCATTAGTACTATAGGAGTTTAGTGATGTAATTGGGAAGCCTCAAGGCCTTCCTCCAGCAGGAGACAGTGATCACACCATACCACTGCAACCAAATCCTCAATCGGTAAATCTCAGACCCTATAGATATTCAATTCCCCAGAAGAATGAAATGGATAGATTAGTTAAAGAAATGTTGGAGTCTCATTAAATTAAGCCTAGTCGAAGTCCTTATGCTTCTCCAGTTCTGTTGGTGCTTAAGAAAGATGGCTCTTGGCAATTTTGTGTGGACTACAGAAAGTTGAATGACTTGACCATTAAAGATGAGTTCCCCATTCCTGTGATTGATGACCTGTTGGACGAACTCAGGGGTTCTAAGTTCTTTACGAAGCTCGATTTGCTTTCTGGTCACCATCAGATCAGGATGAGCCCTTTGGATCAACACAAAACAGCATTCAGAACACACTAAGGACTCTATAAGTTCACTGTTATGCCATTTGGGCTTACTAATGCCCCTGCCACGTTTCAGGCTCTCATGAATAAAATTTTTAGCCCTCATCTCAAGAAGTTTATACTGGTATTCTTCGATGATATATTAATCTACAGCCCAGATCAGGACAGTCACCAGGAACTTCTGACAGATGCTTTGTCCATTATGAGGGCTAAATCTTTGTATGACAAACCCTTTAAGTGTGCTTTTGGACAGACTCAAATTGACTATCTGAGGTACATCATCAATCAAGAGGGGGTGACTACTGATCCTGCCAATATAGAAGCCATGGTGAACTGGCCTGTACCTAAAACTATGAAGGAGTTGCGTGGTTTCCTTGGTTTGACAGGATACTACAGGAAATTTGTCAAAAACTATAGGGTTATATGGAAGGCACTAACTGATCTGCTGAAGAAGAAGAAAGATTGTTTTAAGTGGTCTGAGGCTGCGCAAGAGGCATTCACAGCATTGAAGTCAGCTATGGTCACTGCTCCAGTGTTGGCCCTTCCAGATTTTACCAAACCCTTTATACTGGAAACTGATTCAAGTGAAGTGGGAATAGGTGTTGTGCTATCTCAGGAGGGAAGGCCACTAGCTTATCACAGTCAAGCTTTGTGGCCAAGGAAACAAGTGGTTTCAACCTATGAGAAGGAATACTTAGTTGTCATTTTAGCAGTCACTAAGTGGTGCCACTATTTGGAGGGTAGATCATTCAAGATTGTTACAGACCACGAAAGTCTCAAACATCTATTAGGTCAGAAGATTCACACTCGGATTCAAAAGAAAGGTTTGGTTAAACTTCTCGGTTGGGATTTTGAAATTCAATATCGCCAGGGCAAGTTTAATTATGTTGCTGATGCCCTGTCGAGACACCCTGATTTTGCTGCTCCTATTGCTAACCTGGGAGGGTGCTGTCCCATTTCTGTTGTACTACCATCATGGCTGTCTGAGTTGGAATCCACGTACACAGGTGACCAGGAGGTGTAAAGGTTAATGGTGGAAGCTGCAGTTCCAGTTGTTGGTCCTAAGCTGTTTTGGATTCATCAGGGGTTGCTTTATCACAAGTCTGCAATCTATGTGGGGTTGACAGGCATTATGAGACAGCAGTTGGTACAATTGTTTCATGACTCTCCAGTGGGAGGTCATTCTGGATTGCAGGCGAATTATCAAAGAATTAAGAGGTACTTCTGGTGGCCTGGTATTAAGTCTGATTAGAAGAATTATGTCCTGTTGTGTGAAGTGTGTTAGAAGTGTAAAGTAGAGAACATTCCTTATCCAGGTCTGCTGCAGCCATTACCTATTCCTGTCTCAGACATGGATGCTATTTTCAACAGTTCATTCTAGTCTAAACTCTTTAAATTACAAGGGGTTAAACTGCACTACTCTACTACCTATCATTCACAAACGGATGGTCAAACAGAAAGGCTTAACAGTTGCCTAGAAGTATATTTTCGAGGAATGGTTCACTTGTGTCCACAACAATGGGCTTCTTGGTTGACTCTCGCGGAATGGTGGTACA